GTTTGAGACCAGCCTGAGCAAAATAGTGACAGCCTATCTCTACAAAAATTAAAAAAATTAGCCAGGCATGTGGGTGCAAACCTGTAGTTCCAGCTATTGGGAGCCTGAAGAAGCAGGATCGCTTGGGCCCAGGAGTTTGGGGTTGCAGTGATCTCTGATTGTGCCACTATACTCCAGCCCGGGCAACAGGGTGAGATCCTGTGTCTAAATAAATAAATAAATAATAAAAAATAAAACCAACCAGCCTTGCACAGAAAAGGGAACATAGAGCAAAAGAAGAACCGGCGAGCTCGTGCTCAGTGAAGTAGTGATTTATGGTGGTTCCATGAGCGTGTCCATTTTATGTTCTGCAGGTGATGTGAGCCATTGTGGATTCATAGCCCAAACAGTACGCTGGACATATCTGTCTTTGTTCTGGAAGCCCTAAGAAGCTAGAGCAAATCCTCATTCTTATTCATGGGCTATTTTATAGGCCAGTTCTCTGATTCTTTTTTTTTTTTTTTTTAAGATAGCTGTAGAAGATGAAAAGTTCTCTGATTCTTGATGACTGTCATTGAGTTAGGGATTTCCTGATCAAGAAGCAAGTCCTCCTCTTCTTCCTACTACTTCCTCCTACTTCATTTTCTTTTTTCTTTTCTTTCTTTCTTTCTTTTTTTTTTTAGACAGAGTCTCACTCTGTGGTCCAGACTAGAGTGAGTACCATGGCATCAGCCTAGCTCACAGCAACCTCAAACTCCTGGGCTCAGGCAATCCTCCTGCCTCAGCCTGCCAAGTAGCTGGGACTACAAGCATGTGCCACTGTGCCTAGCTAATTTAGTTGTCCAGCTAATTTCTATTTTTTTAGTAGAGACAGGGTCCTACTCTTGCTCAGGCTGGTCTCAACTCCTGAGCTCAAACAGTCTGCACGCCTTGGCCCCCCAAGTGCTGGGATTACAAGCATGAGCCACCACACCCGGCCCCTTATTTATTTCTTAACAAGCACCCAGGACCAGTGCTTGCTGAACATGAAAGGCTAACCTTGACATTGGGCCCTTCCAAGTCCTGGCTCAGGCAAGCTGCCTCCTTCAGAGCAGAGCAGAAGGGCCAAGGTGCTCCTCTGGCCCTGCATTACCTGTAGAACTTGCTCACCTCTCTGCATTTTCTTTTTTTTTTTTTTTGAGACAGAGTCTCGCTTTGTTTCCCAGGCTAGAGTGAGTGCCGTGGCGTCAGCCTAGCTCACAGCAACCTCAAACTCCTGGGCTCCAGTGATTCTCCTGCCTCAGCCTCCCGAGTAGCTGGGACTACAGGCATGTGCCACCATGCCTGGCTAATTTTTTTCTATATATTTTTAGTTGGCCAATTAATTTCTTTCTATTTTTAGTAGAGATGGAGTCTCGCTCTTGCTCAGGCTGGTTTCGAACTCCTGACCTTGAGCGATCCTCCTACCTTGTCCTCCTAGAGTGCTAGAATTACAGGTGTGAGCCACTGTGCCTGGCCCTCCTACTTCATTTTCATCGGCTGTTAGACTGCTTGCTTAGATGTGTATTTATGTGTGCATGTGTATGTGTTTCTACTTCCATCAATGTATATAATAATGAGAAACAGCCAGGCATGGTGGCTTACACCTGTAATCCCAGCACTTTGGGAGGCCAAAAGTTCAAGACCAGCCTGAGCAACATAGCTAGGCGTGGTGGTGCATGCCTATAGTCCTGGCTACTCAGGAGACTGAAGCAAGAGGATCACTTGAGCCCAAGAGTTTGAATCTGCAGTGAGCTATGATGATGCCACTATACCCCAGCCTGGGAGACAGAGTGAGACCCTGTCTTAAAAAAAAAAAAAAAAGGAAAGAAAGAAAAGGCAGGCAGGTAGGCAGGGAAGGAAGGGAAAGAAGGAAGGGAGGGAGGGAAGAAAAGAAAGGAAAGAAAGGAAGAATGAAAGAAAAGGGGAGGGTAGGGGAGTTTGTTGCCTATCCCTTTCTTTTTTCGTGACTTCTTTCTCCAACAGTAAGAAAGATGGCTCTTATAATAAACTTTAATTATCTCACCTACTTGTTCACTTTCCCCCTAAGTAACCATTCTACCCACCATGTGGGCCTTCTCCTCTGCCTGACCCCTCAAAGCACACTGACTACATATTGGAACTCCTTCCCCTGACTCTGCAAGTGCTGGCCAAGTGAGCCCCTCCCCAGATGAGACTGGTCTGAGCTGGTGGGTATCTTTCAAGAATTCTCCAGGCTAAACATCTGTGTCACCTAAACGACATCTCGATGCATATAGACTGTGTTTTCTCAGTAAACAGCGTGAAGAGCTGGGGAAAGTCCACTGTTGTAGGCAGAAAAATGGCTCCGCAAAAGATGTGCACATCCTAGTCCCTGGAACCTGTGAATGTTACTTCACAGGGCAAAGGAACTAGGAGATGTAACTAAGTTATGGATCTGGAAATAGGGAGCTTGCCTGGATTATTTGTAGTCAGCCCAGTGTGATCACAAACATCCTTACAAAAGGCAGGAGGGTCAGAGTCCTGTGAGGAGATGTGACACAGACCCAGAAAGTGAGAGATTTGAAGATGTTTTACTGCTGGCTTTGAAGGTGGAAGAAAGGAAGGTGGTCTCTAGAAGCTGGAAGAGGCAAACATTCTCCCCTAGAGCCTCCAGAAGGAACCAACGTCATGGAAAACTTGATTTAGGACTTCTGACTTCCAGAACTGTGAGATAATATTAATAAATCTGCATTGTTTTAAGCCACTAAGTTTGTGGCAATTTGTTACAGCAACAAAACAAAACTAATAAAGCCACAGTGGGATTTGAAAACAGTAATAGCGGGCACCAGGCCTTCCTGGTGTCCACACTTGCTGGAAGGATGGGGGTTGCCAGCTCCCACGCCAAGCTGTTTTACATTTACAGTTAGACCTATTTTATAGATGAGGCTACCAAGCTTGAGAGAGGCATGGTCACCCAGTTGAAAAGGGAAGGGGCAGGCCCCAGCCGAGTTCTTTTTTTTTTTTTTTTCTTAAAAAATGTTTATTGTGGGTTTTTTTTATTTTTTTATTTTGGCATATTATGGGGGTACAGATTTTAAGGTTTCAATAAATGCCCATTTCCCCCCTCCCCCCAAAAGTCTGAGTCTCCATCATGACCATCCCCCAGATGGTGCACACCTCACTCGTTATGTATGTATATACCCGCCCCCTCCCCCTCCGACCTGCCCAATACCCTATTACTGTAGTACCTGTGTGTCCACTTAGGGGCTGCTCAGTTAATACCAGTTTGCTGGAGAATATATCTGGTGCTTGTTTTTCCATTCTTGGGATACTTCACTTAGTAGTATGGGTTCCAGCTCTAACCAGGAAAATATAAGATGTGCTATATCACCATTGTTTCTTAGAGCTGAATAGTACTCCATGGTATACATATACCACATTTTATTAATCCATTCTTGGATTGATGGGCACTTGGGCTGTTTCCACAGCCTTGCAATTATGAATTGTGCTGCTATAAACATTCGAGTGCAGGTGTCTTTTGTGTAGAGTGTCATTGGATCATTTGGGTAGATGCCCAGCAATGGGATTGCTGGATCAAATGGTAGATTCACTTGTATCACTTTAAGGTATCTCCATATTGCTTTCCACAGAGGTTGGACTAGTTTGCAGTCCCACCAGCAGTGTAGGAGTGTTCCTCTCTCTCCGCAACCACGCCACCATTTATTGTTTGGAGACTTTTTGATAAAGGCCATTCTCACTGGAGTTAAGTGATATCTCATTGTGGTTTTGATTTGCATTTCCCTGATGATTAGAGATGTTGAGCATTTTTTCATATGTTTGTTGGCCATTCTTCTGTCTTCTTTAGAAAAATTTCTGTTCAAGTCCTTTGCCCACTTTTTAATGGGGTTATTTGATTTTTTCTTCCTGATTTTCGTGAGTTCTAAGTATATTCTGGTTATCAGTCCCTTATCAGATGCGTAGGATGCAAAAATTTTCTCCCATTCTGTAGGTTGTCTGTTTACTTTCATGACTATTTCTTTGCCCAGCCGAGTTCTTGCTGTCCATTGAGTCCCACCTCACACCTGCCAGAAGAGCTGGATGGTGGCAGGTGTATGGGGCCAGGCCTGGCCGACGCAGGGAGCCAGGAGGATTCTGAGTGCTGGGCTTGCCACTGGGAAGCTGGTGGCCAGGAGTAGAGGAGGGACTCTGGGGTCTGGCTGCTGAACGACCCGGAGTCCCTGTTGCTGGGGAAGGGGGACTGCTGAGGTCCTAAGCCGGGTGACAGTGTTTCAGCAGCCGGTGTGGAGGAGGAGTGGCGCTGCTGGGGAGCAGGGAGAGCCAAGGGTCTGGGTGGTGGCCAGGGCTTGGCAGACACCTGGCGGGCGTGGGGGGAAGGAGGCACTGGCTCCAGGATGTTTGTGCGGGATCACTCCTTTCCTCCTTTCCCCCTCTGCGGGGAGGCGTCAGCTGTGGGGTCGTCATTCTTTGGCGTGGTTCTGCACTTCTCCCCTCCTGGAACTGCCAACTTCCATTTCTCCCCTGCTCTTCCAGATCCTACAACCAACACTCCGCGTTAGGGGCCGGCCGCAGGATAGAGGCTCCGGCCTAGAACGCAGGGCAGGGAGGACTCCCCAGGCTCCCTGATTCCTAGGGAGCCTCCCCAGGCCGGGAGGAGGCTTGAGAAGGAACCGAGGTCCCTTGCATTGAATCTAGCGGGGAAACGCCCCAGTCAGAAGGGAAACCTTCGTGGAAGGGCGGCGGGTGGCAGGACGACTCCCCCGGGCGGGGGCCTCCTATAGCTGCAACCTCAAGGTGAGCTCCGGCTCGGGGGCCTGTCATAGCGCGGGAGCCGGACCCCTGGCGCTGGAGCCCTGTGGCTCCGCCTGCCCACAGGACCCAGGCCTGTTCACCCCCAAGGGTCAGGGCCCCCGTCGGAGCCTCGCGGGCGCCGAGGGTTCCAGCCACAACTCTGGCCTGATTTGGCCTCTCCGTGCGCCCCCCGAGGAGAAGGGCCCTGTGTGTGACCACTGCTCCACCGGGAGTGGCTCCAGAGCTGTCCGCAGGCTCAGCTGCGTGAAGTCCGCTCAGACTGCCAACCCTGCACATGCAGGACCCTGCAGCCGACCCCCCTCCGTCGGGGACCCTCCGCGAAGTGGCCCGGGGCTTGCGCGCGCTGCTGCGAGAGGCTGTTGCCTGCAGGGCCCGGGGAGCCCCGCCCGTGCGCCCCGTGCGGGAAGCGCTTCAGCCCCAATGAGCAGCAGCGGATGGGCGAGGGCCGCTCAGTGTGTGCTGAGTGTGGCCGGGCCCCGGGTGCCCCCGACGCCCCGGCCCAGCGGCTGTACGCGTGCGACGAGTGTGGCAAGGCCTTCACGCGCACCTCGAGCCTCCTGCAGCACGAGCGCATCCACACGGGCGAGCGGCCCTACGAGTGCGCCGAGTGCGGCAAGGCCTTCGTGCGCTGCTCTGGCCTCTACCGCCACAAGAAGACGCACTCGGCGCTCTTTCCTGCCCGGCTGCCTGCCCTGCGGGGACTGCAGCCAGGAGGGATCCCGGGGGCCTGTTGCGGGAGAGAAGCCCTACGCGTGCCCCGAGTGCGGCAAGGCCTTCAACCAGCGTTCGAACCTGAGCCGGCACCAGCGCACGCACAGCAGTGCCCAGCCGTACGCGTGCCCGCTGTGCGAGAAGGCCTTCAAGGGCAGGTCGGGCCTGCTGCAGCACCCGCGCGCGCACACGGGCGAGCGGCCCTACGGCTGCCCCGAGTGCGGCAAGACCTTCCGCGGCTGCTCCGAGCTGTGCCAGCACGAGCGCCTGCACTCGGGCGAGAAGCCCTACATCTGCCGCGCCTGCGGCAAGGCCTTCGTGCGCAACTGCAGCCTCGTGCGCCAGCTGCGCACGCACACGGGCGAGCGGCCCCACGCGTGCGGGGAGTGCGGCCGCGCCTTCAGCCAGCGCTCCGACCTGAACGCGCCTGAAGCGGCACGCGGGCCGGCGGCGCCCTGATGCCCTGGAGTGGCGGGTGGACGCGGTGCGTAGGGGCAGTTGTCACCGAAGCCTCACAAACGTTTGTAACCCCTATTAAACCTCACTTTTACACATGGCGTCCCCAGGTTTCCCCTACTGTGAAGTTTAATTTTATGTTTTCCAACTGGGTGCATAGCCTCCGGTTGCAGGGGAAGATAGCTCTCTAAGATATCTCTCCCAAGCTAGGAAGGATTTTTACGATGTCAAAATATCATAATATAGGCCAGGCGTGGTGGCTCACGCCTGTAATCCCAGCACTCTGGGAAGCCGAGGCAGGCGTATTGCTTGAACTCAGGAGTTCGAGACCAGCCTGAGCAAAAGTGAGACCCCGTCTCTACTATAAATATAAAGAAATCAGCCAAACAACTAAAGAAAAAAAAAATTAGCCGGGCATGGTGGTGCGTGTCTGTAGTCCCAGCTACTCGGGAGGCTGAGGCAGGAGGATCACTTGAGCCCAGGAGTTTGAGGTTGCTGGGAGCTAGACTGACGCCACAGCACTTTACCCAGGGCAACGGAGTGAGACTTTGTCTCAAAAAAACAAAACAAACAAAAAAAGAAAACAAAACATCATAATATACAGAAAATAAGAATATAAACAATACACCCACCACTTCACCTTCCACCATGGCAGTGGGGCTAAAACTTGTAAAGCTGGTGTTCTCTGCCCTCTTTGCAATTCCTGCAGAATGGGAAGGCATGCCCCTAAGGCTCTATGCTCAGCATTTGGGGCCATTCTAACTTCTGGTACACTCGTAGACATAAGCAAAGTCACGCCAGCTGCCTGGGGATTGGCTGCATGATTGTGGGAAGTGCCATCAGGCCTGCAGGGAAACCGTGACCCTTCAGGACTCCTGGTCTGTACCAGAGTATTAACTGCCCATGGCTGCTCACAAATTACCCCAAAATGTATGGTTTAACATAAGAATAAACGTTTGTCATCTTGCACATTTTCAGCGGGTGAGGAATTAAAGAGCAGCTTGGCTGGGGGTTCTGGCTCCAGGTCTTTCATGACGGGGAAGCCAACATGCCTGCTGAGGCTGCCACCATGTGACAGCTGGCGGAGCCAGCAAGTCGGCTCCTCTTTATGTGGGCCTCTCCATGGGACGGCCTTGAGTGGCCTGCTGACCTGGTAGCTAAATTCCTCCAATATGAGTGATTCAAGAGCCCACATCACATAACCCTTTTGCTGTATTTTATTGGTGACACAGACTATCCCTGATTCCATATAAGAGAAGACCACACAAACAAGGGTGTGAACCAGCAAATGAGGATTGTTGGCATCTGGGAGGCTGGTTGCTATACTGTCTGTGAGAGGCATGTGGCCTTTGCTGGTGGCTCAGCCTCACCAAGCACCAGAGAGTCCGTGTGGGCAAGGATCTGGAAAGCCTGGGAACATAGGAGCCTCTGGGTACAGTGAAAACTGGGGAGTTCTGTGGGTAGAACCCCTGTGAGTGCAGAGGCCACGGTGAGACCTCTGGGGGAACTCAAACACTAGAGACCACCAGAAAAGCCTGGTGAGGGTGGTGGGTTATCTCACTCTGAGTGCTTTCATGATGAACTTCAGTGTGAAGAGGGCGCGTGTGGGTCCTTATTGAAGAGATGGACTGAAATGCCCCGCTGTCTCCTTTTCTTGTCCTGCACACACAAGACCACATCCCCCAGCTTCCATTTTTGGGTGGGCGAAATCCAGGGACAGCATAAAAAATCCATTCCCCAAACAGAGAGGGAACTGAGACAGCAAAGAATGATTCAGACAAATCCAGCCTGATGAGTTAGAGAGTTTATTAGAGGTTACTTACTAGGGCACTTGCTCCTGAGTGGCACAGGATTTCTTCCACGGGAGCTTCTTGCTAGCTAAATTGCATCTGTGCACCCAGTGGTGTTGCTGTAAATCTCTTCCCAGTATAAATAAATAAAAAAAGGCCGGGCGCTGTGGCTCACGCCTGTAATCCTAGCACTCTGGGAGGCCGAGGCGGGCGGATTGCTCAAGGTCAGGAGTTGGGGAGATCCTGAGCTCAACGATCCGCCTCACCTCCAGAGCGCTAGGATTACAGGCGTGAGCCACTGCGCTCGGCCAAATGTTTTCTTGAATATGGGGCAGTTATATCCTCAGAAACATGGGCCTCGGAGGGAGGCCAGATCTTCTGATTCTTCAAGTCACAAATATGGATGTTTATTGGAATCTGATTACTTAAAAAAAAACTTTTGATTTTGAAACACTTATAAATTCCTGTGCTGTAAGAAGTAACACATACACTATGTACTCTTTACCCAGTTTTCCTCAAAGGTAACATCTTGAAAAACTAGAGTAGGATATTACAACCAAGATGTTCACATTGAAACAGTCAAGATGCAGAAGATTTTCATTGCCACCAGGATTCCTCATGTTGCCCTTTTATAGCTGCACACGCTTCCTTCCTGCCTCTTTCCCCTCCTTAACGTCTGTCAATTAGCAATCTGTTCTCTAGTTCTATAATTTTGTCATTTCAAGAAGGTTGCATAAATGGAATCATACAGTATATAACCTTTTGAGATTGGTTGATGACTTTAAAAAAAATATAATTCACATGCTATAAAATCCTCTTTTTTTTTTTTTTTTTTTGAGACAGTCTCACTTTGTTGCCCAGGCTAGAGTGAGTGCCGTGGCGTCAGCCTAGCTCACAGCAACCTCAACTCCTGGGCTCAAGCAAATCTTTCTGCCTCAGCCTCCCGAGTAGCTGGACTACAGGCATGCGCCACCATGCCAGCTAATTTTTTCTATATATTTAGTTGACCAATTAATTCTTTCTATTATAGTAGAGACGGGTTCGTCTTGCTCAGGGTGGTTTCGAACTCCTGAGCTCAAACGATCCGCCCACCTCAGCCTCCCAGAGAGCTAGGATTACAGGCGTGAGCCACCGCGCCCGGCAAAATCCACTCTTTTAAAGTATATAATTCAGTCCGGACAGTGGCTCACGCCTGTAATCCTAGCACTGTGAGATGCCGAGGTGGGTGGATCGCTCAAGGTCAGGAGTTCAAAACCAGCCTGAGCAAGAGCAAAACCCCTTCTCTACTACAAATAGAAAGAAATTAATTGGCCAACTAATATATATAGGAAAAACTTAGCCGGGCATAGTGGTACATGCCTGTAGTCCCAGCTACTTGGGAGGCTGAGGCAGGAGGATTGCTTGAGCCCAGGAGTTTGAGGTTGCTGTGAGCCAGGCTGACACCACGGCACTCACTCTAGCCTGGGCAACAAAGTGAGACTCTATCTCA